GTGTGGAGGTAACCTTAGCTGTTCATTATTGTTAATGTGTTCTAAATTAATCGTGTTCATTGTGTACATTCTGAAGGGGTGTTAGCTTCTGTGTTATCAAGGTCTGTCTGTGAAGTTCAGGTAACTGTGCCTGCATCTTACGACACTACTGCTCCCAAATCTCTCCTCTCTGTTGCAGAAGACGGCATGTACAGAAGCAGATGTATGTCAGCTCAAAGCCACACACTTCTCCGTGTATTGGAATTTAGAGGTTTTCCAGTGTGATAAGCTGTAAGCTATGTGCTCTGTTGGATCAAGGAATGGGCAAATTATTATTTTTGCTTTTACAAGGATAGCAGCTTCTTTCAGAGCTTATGAGACAGTGGATGAGATTCTGTCCAATTAATGGGAATATTGCTGTTGACTTTATTGGGGCCAGACTAGTCTAATACTCCTAACAAGTTTTCCAACAGCAGACAAATTAGCTTGTTGATGTGTGTGCAGGAATGACAGAATGCTATAGAAACATAGATGGCTAAAATAACATTAGATATAAGTGAATTGTTCTTCTCAGAATTAAGTAGCAAAAAATACCACACATGCAATAAATCCTAAATATATGTTTCTCCATCTATGGAGATGGAGTGAAATCGGGGTCAGTTCTGTGAAATCAGAGTCAGTTATGTCTTTAATATACATAGGATAGCAAAAACTCAGTTACATTTTTGGTTTATACTGAACATCTGTCCCTGTTATGATGTTAGGTGACCAAGTGACTTCACTGGAACTCTCCATGTATTGAAATTAAGTAAATGAATAGGTGTTTACGTGACCAGGGCTTACATGTATATAACGCAGCAACCTGTCAGCTGATGTGAAATGAGGTTCTTGTGGTGATGCAAATGGGTCTATAAGGTCAACACTAGTTGAGATGCTAAGCCAAAGTCTTCCCAGTTGCAAAAAGATACAAATATTAAGGAAGTAAACCATTTAGTTAAAAGGGTTTGTGCTTTAAAAGACTAAATAACTTAGAGTAAAAAGAAATATTTAAAATAAGAACTTTTCTATTCTGTGATCTTAACTGTGTTCTTAAAAACAGCATGGTTTTCTTGTGAAGAGAAAAAGGAACAAAGAGAACACATTTTGAACTCTAGTATCTCCTTAATTTCTGATCCAAATTGTGTTAGCCATGGGTATTCTGCTCATTATTTGTCACAACTCAGTTTGGAAGCTGCAGAAGTTCAGGAATTAATACCTTCCAGACCTTCGCCACTCCCCACCCCCTCTTTCACATACTCTTCTTATCAATATTTAAACAAATACTAGAAAATGAAGCAATTCACTGTTGAGTACTTATGTTTTTATTTTTCTACTTTAACCTTTTAAAATAATTTAGACCTGAAAATCGGAGATTTGAAGATTGTTGTGTGAAAGAAAATTCCTCATGCTGACTTCAGTAGCAAAAGTTTGAGGAGTTCAACTTCTGTGTGTTCATGTAAGCTACAGAATACTAAATACAGCTCAAAATCTTGTCATTTAGGTACCCAAACTGGAGTTCTTTGGAAGATCGGGCCCCAATTTTCTGATCTAAAGGTTGTCTTCCTGATTCCAGTGAGTAAAGATATTTAAATTAATAGGGTTGGGTGAGATACAGAATAAAATCACAGATGATATCAGAAAGTCTGCCCTAAGCTTAGAGTATATTTTTAGAGACAGATTAACTATTGTTAAGTCTTTTATGAATTTAGACACCTCTGTATCTTACAGAAGAGAGAAAACATTTCTGAAACAAAGTACATGTACTGCTAACAATATA